TGTAGTGAACCTCATTTACATGAAATATGTTTACGGTTTCTTATATGCGTGGTTCTAGTAGATGAATGGTGTCTACCTTTTGCTTGGATGGTCCCTGTCTAGAGATGTCCCCTATGTGACTCTTCCCGTTTGATTCATTGTATGCAGTTTTGTGATAAAATGGTGCTAATTATCATACAGCGTGGAAATTGGGGGATGAAATCACGTGCCGTGTGTCGGGGCATGTGAAAATTGCGGTACAAAGCAAGGAAGAGTGGAGACAATCCAATCACGATGTGCTGACCTTGAACGCATTGCGAGTCACTCGCGTGTAATTGGTTGTCCTGATGTCGACCCCTTGAGAGCCAGACCCATGGGCGGACGTATGGTATGGGCCCGTTTACGTCGTCCAACAAGCAACACAAACTGCGATGGGGTACAAAACCACAACAATGAATCGTTTGTAAACCAAAGTGAACACTACTAAAGTGAATCTTAAACCACTTCTGACTGAAAGGCGATCAATTTTTCACTGATCTCATCTCGGTTGCTACTTATTTAAACAGGAGCTCTCTGAACTTTTGGCCGAAGACAAGCTTGTTGGAGTGCCGTTCATCGTATTTGCCAATAAACAGGATCTACTGAACGCGGAAACTGCGGACAAAATCTCAGATGGCTTGGGTTTACTTACTATCCGGGATCGTCCGTGGCAGATTCAAGGATGTTCGGCTTTAACAGGAACCGGAATAAAAGTGAGTTATTCCCTTTCCCTCTCTCTAGAAAAAAAAACAGGTGGTTGGAAATGCAAGTCAGCTATTCTGAAGGTGTGAGAAAACGTTTTGATATCCGTTTTTTAGATGAAAATTGCAACCACACGGCTTTGTGCCCTTGACGTTTACGAGGTCATCTTCATGGCCGTCAGGAACTAAATTTGGACACCTTTGCTTCTTTTTTGGCATGCTATACATCAGCCTTTTCTTGCTGTTGGCGCTTTCCTCCCAGTTTATGTACCAAATAAGTGTTTTCGGTAGTCTCGGATGAATGGCGGAAGACTATCCCATCGGGAATCCACTATATCCAGCGCCCATCACTGAAGCTTATTTCATTGATAAAATGCACCACCGGAAGTTCGTTTCTACAATCGATCGAAAGATTAGATGAACGCATTGCAAGGTATTGGCGGTATCGTACTATGGCGCGAATTTGATTCTCATCAGCCGGCTTTTCCAAAGCGCTTATATGAATATCTCTCTCTCATGAACTTGCATTCACCTACTGCCCAACATTTGTTATGGCGCTAATTCCCGAAGTCACCCGCTCCATTAGGTTGCGTGAACAGACACTCGTCAGGTGTTGCTTAGCGACCGAAAACAACTCTCATTGTTTTGACTATCAGAAACGGTTAGTGGGTGGGTGGAACTATCTCTAGTGCGCTCTAGACATTTACTGGGTATGAAAAGTGGTCGAATATTCGTTAGTCTTCTTCCGAGATAGGAATATAAGGTGTTCACTAAACTCTACCACTAAGCTTCAAAAGCAACATGCAAATCCAATAGTGTCTTCGTTCAACACAGCTTTCACAATTTGGCAGTGTCTATTGGACGTATGAAAATTTCATTTGCATCCCGACTCGAGGCTCAATCGCAGTCCAAGTCATCGTTACACCGGAACGAGCTTGCCATCGTGAGTTCAGCATTTATCTGATGATCACTGCGCTCAAATTACCGCACGCAAAGCGAAAATGTTTTATTCCTTCGTCAGGGAATAGGCCTGGAAGAATCGTTCCCGATGTTTCAGGAACACTTGTGTTGGTTTCAGTAAGATCCTCATTTCTGAACAAAATTTTGGGATTCTATCCTCACTGCAACTACAATGAGTGGCCGTTCAATAAGACAAACTAAATACTGCGGCGCCTATCAATAAAAAAA